GTGGGAGTAGTAACTCTGAAACTGCTTTCCCTGAAAATGCCCAGCCTTTAAAACTCAGGGCACTCATCCTACAGAATTACACTCATCCTGCAAAGGACTGTCCCCTGCATTTATATACAACATAGGAGCCTTGTCATAGTGGCATGCGTACTTAGAGTTTGCAGCGTGCCCTGCACGTTCCACTGGATCCTCATGACAGCTTTGCAGTGAGCAAGCCAGGTCATCGGCCTGCCGGCACTGATGCGAGAACGAGGCACGTGAGGCATTTGCTGGTCTTTCTTTCTCGCGGTGCAGTTAGTGCCTTCCTGTCTCCTGCTGACAAGGTCCTCGTTACCAGTCACAGAGTTGGCCACCATGAGAGCGGGAGCCGTGGACAGAAGTTGAGGTGACAAGAGAAGCGAAGGGAATTAGAATTTTTGCTGAATCGGTTGTTTCATTCCTGACTGGTGAGAAGGACAACAGGGGGCTAACACTTCACCTCAGAATGACAGGCGCTTGCTGCTGAGCTTTACCACGGGGATTCTCTTCTCTCTTCCAGTCACTGGCACCCAGGTTTCTAGACCAGCTCTGTTCTTAGTGAAATTCACTGCTTAATCCTATGTTGCAATTCAGGATGCAACTGATCAGCTTCTAACGTTTATCAGCCAGCCTTTCCCTTGGAAAGTTTGCCGCTGGACGGTTAGAGCAGTATTATTCATTCTTGTACGGCATGTACATTCTGTTTCTTGGGGAGGGGGGGACCTGTGAAGCTGGCCTCCTAAGGCTAATTGAGAAAGTTCAAATGCTTCTGAACCTAAGCTTATATTTCCTTCCCTCCTCCGAATAAGTTTTTCAATAAAGGATGCCACACACAGAGCTGTATACAAGTCCTGTGCCGTTAACCAGGGGCTTCCTTGTTCTCTAGTCTGTTGTGCTTTAGAGAACTTGTTGAATTTAAGAACAGTCTTCCTGTTTCCAGTACCTGTTCTGGTAACGGGTGAGGGACGAAGCTTAGTGAACTCTGGTTATTATAGCCTTCTCCTGATAGATGCATGTAGGTGAGCTTTTGATGCCCAGGAGAATTTTTTTGACATGCCACCAGTGTGCTCCTGTTGACAGTGTTGGCTTTTCGAAATCTTATTTGTCTTAATCAACAAATAAATATTTGAAGGAAGAGAAAAACAGAGAGGAAATAATGTCTGTGAGAGCCTGAGGTAGCATTCGAGTTATATGAAAAACAGCAAAAAATAAAAAAATAAGATTTATTCACTTAAGAATAGAAATCTCACTTCTGTTTGCCACGTGCAGAGATATGGAACTAATTTCAATAAATATGCATAAGTTTGAGTATTGCCTGGTTTCCCATTGATAAAAAATACTTTCATTTCCCAGAGAAGTGTTCACCAGAAATATTTTTGCCCAACCTCTATTTTTGTGAAGTTATTAGTTGGATGTAACAAAAGAAACTTAAGGACAAAAGGGAATTGTGGGTGAGACACTTGTCTGTTGGACATTAGGTTTCTTTTTTTTTTTTTTTTAATTAATTTTTTTGGAGTATAGTTGATTTACAATGTTCTGTTAGTTTCATGTGTACAGCAAAGTGAATCATATACATATATCCACTCTTTTTTAGATTCTTTTCCCATACAGGTCATTACAGAGTGAGTACTGAGTAGAGTTCCCTGTACTATACAGGACTACTGTCCCCTGCATTTATATACAACAAATATACAAACCTAATGACTAATTAGGTTTCTATATATATATAGGTTTCTGTATATATATATATATATATATATATATATATATATATATATATATACACAAACCTAATGACTAATTCGGTTTCTAATCAGAGCCAATATTTCAGATGCTTTTTGCTTATGTCACTGTAATTGACAGAGATCTATAGACCCCATAAAAAGTACTCTTCCTATTCACTTGGTGTAATTTGCTTCTAAGCAAGATTTTGCATGTTGCAGAAATAATCACTTCTCCAGTGTAGTAATAGGACATGTTTTTCAGTGTTCTAATTGTTCTGTATCTTTCTTATAATAAAGTATTTATTATATATTTTCCATGAGGATCCAGTTTAGAAATTGTTTTCTCTCATTCAGTTACCATATATTTTTACTTTAAATTAGTTTGCTTTTTTTAAAAAGTGCAATTTTGAATCTTTATTGAACCCTTAAATCTTCCACGTGGTACCTTTTATTTCACTAAAGTTATCACCTGTATTGTGACCTTTACCCATTTCTCTTTTCCCCGCCCCCAAAGAACAGCCGTATTGCCTGACATGAAATCTAGTTGATGAGAGTTCATTCCTTAGTTCTAGTTCCAGCCCAAACAAATTGTGATTTCTTTTGGTAAATCTAGTATATTTAAGTACAAGAGCAAAAATGTAGCGTGTCGTCCGGAGCTGCTGACTTCCCTCCATCCTTCCTTTCCCCTTTCCTCTCTCTCTTTCTCTCAATTTATTAAACTTTAAGAAAGGGGAAGAAACCAGATGACATTTTGTCTGTTAAACCCGCTAGTGAAAAATAAAGAGAGCTGGAAATTGATGGCATTAAGTTTGCTTGAAACAAAATATTATTTAATGGCTTGAACTACATAATTTTTAGTCTTTCAACTCTAGAATTCTAACCTTGAAAATATATGTACTTGTGAAAATATTAGAAAAACACAAAAAGGCTAAGGTTAGAAATTATTTTTAATTAGAACACTTAAAGTAACATATTAAGTTTGTTGGTTTTTTAAAATTTCTTTCTAAACACTAGATAGGCGTTTTCAATACTTGTTTTAATTGTCCGTCATCTGAGTCTCCCGGCTAGAATGTAAGATCCAGGAAGGCAACATTCTTGGGGGTTTTTTGTTGTTTTTGTTTTGTTTCGTTTTGTTTTGCTACGCTCCACTGCCTAGAACCGAAACCTTTAAGCTATTTATTCAGTAGTTGTTGAATAAGATATTTTATTTTATATAGTAATTTATAAGTAACTGTTTTATAATAGACCTCAAAAACTCCCACGTACGACGTCTTCATTCCTTTTTCTATCCAAAGCACCCAAGTCCGGGCAAGCCTACCTTCTCAGAGATTTGTTCTACTGGGATTCTATTTCTGGCTTACAGGGTGCTCTTTTTAGAGAGATAGGCAGTATTCCTGTTTTTTAGATGTGGGAAGCCAAACCTTGTCTTAAGGGCTTTCTATACTGATGAGCAAATTACTGGTAGGACTGGTGTTTAACTTTGCCTCTGGTCGCTCTTCTGCGCCCTCCCTGGCCTGGCGCACTTTCACCGCTGCTTCAGCTCTGCTGTGCTTCTCTCCACCCGACCTCTTCTCTCCCCCTTCGCTTCCTCTTCCTCTCTCCTTCCCTAACGCCGCCCCCAGAGAAAACTTCTGCTTGCCAGTCTCACTTTCTTTAAATAAATCACTATTTAAAGGAATGGGAGAAATACTGCCCTTAAGTTATATCTTAACTCATAGAAAAATTACTGTGGAACAATTACACTTTAAATATACTGCAGTCAAAATGCCTTTTATTGGTTAAAGACAGATCCCTCTTTTTGCCCTTCCTTGTGAAACATCAGACTGACATAAAGATAGCAGAATAGAAAATAAAACACATCTTCCTGAGAACTGCTGCTCCAGTTCTACTTGAACAATTGTATGTGCCTCATGAGTAAACAGTGGGACGTATGTGTGCTTCTCATCCTTGTAACAGATACTGCGTTTCACTTCTGCTGTCACCTGTTCCTATTGGTGAAAACACAGCTGTCTCTTTTGCATCTCTTTGTGGGCCGGGTTGAAATGGACACTGTTGCTGCCCTAGGGGCACAGCCTCTTTTCTCTCCTTCAGTGTGTGCGCCGTGCAGTGAGCTTTGCTTCTTCCCTACTTCTGCATCTGTGACGTTTTTCTGAGAGGAAGTTGAAATGCTATAAAATACATACTCATTGGTGATGTACAATAACTCTTACCTTCCACTCGATGCTGGTGGAGCACGTGTAAAACCACTGAGATTAGATCTCTCACCTCCAAACCAAACTAGACCGACAGCACCTCTCTTTGCAAAATACGCAGCTACAGTTTTGCCCGTTACAGTGACATCATTATCGAGGTTGTGTCTCTGTCATTGGCGCCGGTCCCTGGTACCCGGGGAGCCCTCTCTCCAGCACCCTGTGTCTTCACTTCTCTGAGTCCCCGGGCTTCCGTGCGTTCCCTTCCCCTTCATCCTCGCTGCTGCCCTGGCAAACTGGTCTCTGGTGATGTAATCATGGGCGAGGAGGGAGTATATTTGCTAGTAACAGACCTGAGAGGTTGGATGAAGAAATGTTGGACCAGAGCAAAACGTTTCTGTCTAAGAACTTCGGGCAAAGCATTGCTAATTTGAAGCATCCTTTAGAGGTTAAGTCTGTGGGTGTGGAGAGGGGCGGTGCTTTCAGCTTCCAAGTAACGGTGTTAGTCGCCGTCTACGGTAGACCTCAAAAAGAGTGATGTATTTAACCACAATAAAAACGGGGGAGTGGGAGACTTAGAACTAAACACGCACACAAAAGAGCAACAGGCGGAGGAGGTGATTCAAGCTGGGAGAAAAGCACCAGAACCCACCTAGAGAAGTAACAGTGTAGGTGGTAGAGGCTGGAGCTCCCATGAAAGTCGGCGGGGTCTGTCTTGCTCTCTGATGTATTCCATCTTCATAAATAAACCTGATATTTGGGAACGTTATGTTGATTTTCTGTTCCTCTAAGTTCTGTAACTTCTGGCATTGGAGAGATTAGGTCTTATACAATAACATAGCACTGTGGTCATACCCGTAATGTCAAAAGTGTCTGAAACAAGTATTTCTGCCACCAAATACTGCATTAATACCCACCTGGAAAGTAACAGAGAACGTTTGGGATGCCTCCTTATTTGAAAGACTTACGTAAAAAGCCAGAGCTGTATTATTTGATAAAGCATCTGAATGAAAGATTTCTTTTGAAACCATGCTTATGTATGTGTGACTCTCTTCTGTTCCCTTTTTAGGTGGCGTCCTTGGCTGGGCCTGGAGGGCAAGTGGAAATAGAACAAAACTTTCTTAATAATAGATTGAAGACGATCACTGCTTATTTTGGGGAACTGATCCGCAGATCAGCCTCCGAATCCTAAGTGAGGTGGTATAGAGACCAAAAGATCATAGCGGTCAGAACACTGTTCACTTGGAATTTCTTCTCTGTATTCACTGATACTTTGTACCCGTAGTCAAATGGGTATTTGTACCCCAATACACTTTTTCCCCACGTCGATGCAGTACCATCCGGAATCTGCTTTTAAACATCCATTTATTTTATAAAGTGAGTGTTCCTTAAGTTTCTGTTGAAAAAAATGTGAAATATATTTTGTAATGTAGAAGTTTATATTCTTTTTCTATTAAAATGGCAGTGAAAGGAAGAGGAATATGTGTTGCGTAACTATTCATCCAAAAGGTGTGTTCAGTCATTTTTAAAGCAGGTCAAAATTCAGGGACAGGGGACTCTTTTCGCCACAGGGGATCTGGGATGTTTATCTTGTAATAATATGGGCATGTTAAGCATGGTTTTGGCTGGGATAGAGCTGGGGGATTGAAATAAACTGGAAAATTTCCAGTAAGTATTAGCAAAAAATAACTTAAATAAAAAACAACTTTGTTGGAGAATGGAGCAGTGCTAACTTTAGTCTCTTGAAACTTGACAAAGTTTGCCTGATTGCCCTGCAATACCGCAGCAGTTGAACTGATCATTAAGGATGAAACTAATTTCTTATTATTTAATTTGCAACATCAACATCTGTCAATGTTCTAGGTTTTTATACTTTTTCATCAGGTAGGATTAGTGTCTAAACCGTAAACTTGTCACCACTTTTTTTTTTTTTTTTTTTTGTTTTTT